AGGGAAGTATGAAAGGTTAAAAAGTAACGCGCATCAGATGAAACCGAAACCCTGGCTTCTCTCCCAGTCCCATTGCCCAAAAAAAGATTTTTTTTTTCCGAGACAGGGTTTCTCGGTGTTAGCTTTGCGCCTTTCCTGGAACTCACTCTGTAGACCAGGCTGGCTTCGAACTCGAGATGCGCCCGGCTCTGCCTCTCGAGTGCTGGGATTAAAGGTGTGCGCCACCACCACCTGGCTAAAAGAAATTCTTTTTAAGTGTTGTGGCTGTGAGACATCGTGGCTCCTGGAAGGTGTATGGGGAAGAGATCTCCAGCCTAGCAATGGGTCTTTTAGCTTCAGGTGCGCTCTGGTAGCTAACATCCCCTTAGAGGAAACAGCACTTAAGTGTAGCTGGAGGGCTTCTCTCCAGGTTCCCCAAGCCCCGCAGTCCCACAATCCAGTTACAAAATAATCACTCAGACGCTTATATCACTTATAAACTGTATGGCCGTGGCAGGCTTCCCGCCAACTGCTCTTTCATCTCAAACTAACTTATGATGAGCATACAATATCCCTATGCCGTACAGCAGCTCTAAATGCTTGGGATTGAAGACTAACAGTTATAGTTACAACTTAGTATATATAATATCTTAGATAAAACATATTAAGTATTAGGTTCAGGTTCTTTAGGATAGGACACCTTTCAATGATCTTTATAACATGCTGTTTACCTATGCTCTATACTTCTCTGGATTTTAGTATGTGTTTCTTGCTTGATATTGTTTACATTGGTTGTAGTTACATCTTATCTAGGTCATTATCTCTCATTATTTCTGGACAATATTTGATAACCATTCCTTTGTATATAGTCTTGTATTAGTTTAGAACCTTCTCATTTAGACAAAAAGGGGGAGATGTAGTGGGTAGCCATTCCAGCTTGGTTCTGGAAGTTCCAACCCCCATTGAGACTCTGGCAACTGTCACGCCTACGAGGCGGGGCGAGGGGAGGCGCCTGGGGACCTGAGAGCTGGATGGGCCAGCGCTTGCTCTGGGCGCTCTCTCGGTGCCGGAACGCTGACCAGTGCAGATTGACTGTGCAGAGCTCCGGAGAACACCGCTAGACTACATTACACCTTCCCCAGACCCTGCGACCTACCCATTACTTAATTTGTGAGTTACGCCATTTAATAAATATCCTTTTAACTACGTGGAGTGGCCAAAATAATTTCTCCAATACTTAAGTGTTCTCCCTTCTTTGTTTGTTCTTAGCTTGGGTAACCACACAACATCCTCTAAGGCTCTGAGTACCAGGTACTAACCCAGAATTCTTTTATTTACTTATTTGTATGTGCATTGGTGTTTTGCCTATATGTATTATCTGTGTGGGGGGTTGGATCCTGGAGTTGTATACAGATAGTTGTGAGCGGCCATGTGGGTGCTGGGAATTGAACTCGGGTCCTCTGGAAGCGCAGTCAGTGCTCTTAACCACTGAGTGATCTCTTTAGCTCCCTAAAACAGAGTTCTTACAGATGAGATCCTCCTTACTACCTAGGGCCAAGAGCTGGCGCTACATGCAGTCTTCTCCCTACAACGGACTAGGCATTCGGTAAATATTTAGTAAGTGACTCGGGTAAGGTTATGTAAATGATAATTTGTTGGCTTTGGTGATGGTTCTTGACAGATTCAGGTAAGATGACAGTTTGATATGTTCTCTGTATTATTTTCCCCAAATTTATCACTTTAAATGTCTAGACATGTTGTTTCAGGTGCTATTTATTCATGTAGATGTGGGATGCAACCAAGTCCCCTTGTTGCTTTTCTTCAACATGATCAAAGCTGAGACAATACTTTGCTTTCCAGACAAGACTGACTTTGGAAGCCCTGTACTCCCAATTTTACTTGCTGTACGTGTGAATTTAAACTAAGCCAAACCTCTGCGATTGAGGAGAAACCAAACCTAGACCACTGAAATACCAGGCTTGGATGGCCTGGGTCCAGCTAAGAATAAGACTACCTATTGAGCAAGCTCTGGGTTTGACTGAGAGACCCCGCCTCAATGAGTAAGATGGAAGAGCGCCTGTGGATGACAAGTGCAGTTACACACCCTCCCCTACACACACACCACAACATATGAAAACGGGGGAGCTTTTTAAAAATATCCCAAGTCATACAGACAGTTGTTACAATACATTTGTAGTATGATTACTATACTGACTGACTGGCCTTTTAGAATCAACTCGGGGTAGGTTTACTGTGTTCTTTTTCAGTCAGGTCTTTGGTTGCCTAACCGGACAGCAGGATGCTGCACATCTGTGGCCAGAGACAGTCTCTTAGAAATAAATGAATAAATAATATGAATCCCAGTCATCAGGCAAAGGCAGGAAGGTCTCATCAGTGCATAAGTGACTAAAAAATGTGGTTCACGAACCAGAACATCACTGAAATTTTGGTTAGCAGTATAAAAATGGCTATGGCACAATATAATGCAGTCATCCTTCTTTACCTACAGAAGACAGGTTCCAGGGCACCTGTGGATACCAAAATCTTCAGCTGCTCAACTCTCCCAAAAAACATAGTATATGATTTACATGTATCACTAATCATCTCTACATTATTTATAATACCTATTACAATGTAACATCAAGGAATAGTGATCAGAAAGCAAGCCTACAAATGCTCAGTAAAGATTTATTTCCTTGTAAGGTTATTTCATTAAAGAAAATCCGACCACATCTCACAGGATGAAGTAACTGATGCAGACCAGGGAGGTGGTGTGAAACAGAAAGACCAGGGCTCTTAGGTCATCTCTGAGACCTTTCAGATTTATCACGAAGACCAGTTACAACAGGGGGCTAAATATGGGCTTACTAACACTTAGTTAAGGACTTTGTCTACAGGGTCTGTTAAAATGTAAGTGGGCTTAACAATGAATCCTGTAAGTAAATGCTGTTAAGTCAAAAGAAAAGAAATCATAATGGCTGGCAAAATTTCTCTTGCTGACAATGAGTTTAAGAGTAGTTTCCTTTTAAAAATAAGAGAAAGACCTCTTCATCAATTTTCACTATAAAAATTCTGACTATGAGAACATATAACAAGTAGCCAAATTCTTATTATTTTTACTGTGTTATCCAAGCCTTTTAGTAAAATTCAATTCTTTTAAAGATTAAAAAAAATTTTTATTTATGTTATGTGTCCATGTGATTGCACGTCATGTGTGTGAAGGTGCCTGCAGAAGCCAGGAAAGGGCATTGAAAACCCTGGAGCTGAGCTGAAGTTATAGGCAACTGTGAGACCTGACATGGATGCTGGGAACTGACCACTGGTCTTCTGGAAGAGCAGTAATGCTCTTAACTGCTGAGTCATCTCGTGGGGCTCAAATTTTATTTTAAAGGTTTTCCTGTCAAAATTTTCCAATCCCTGGGGTGATTATGACACATTTACAATTTTCTATGTGCAATGCTCATCACACTCCAAAGGCACTGCTAAAAGCAACGACGGAAACCAAGCACTTAATATTCCCATCAGGATTGCACATAAACAAAAAATGTTTCAAACTTTTACTCATGGACAACAGTACAGAACCTAATTAGATTTATCACTTTATAGCAAAATTAGAAGCCGAGTTATTATGTGACTTGTTAACATCATATTATTTCAAAGATAATTTCTGAGCAGGGAAAAGGTAGGTTCCAGAAATGAACTTGACACTGAAGACTTATCAATTCTAAAACAGCCTACTGAACAGATGGCATATGAGCAACAGGAAACAGAGTTTGCAGTTTTGTTAAGAAGGAGGCATTTCCAGCTGACTTCCTTCCCTTTCTTAATTTAGTACACTAGCAGATTAAACTAATTTCAAAGACATCTTTGAAACATGGCAAAAATGTTCTGGTGTCTTTTCCAGGAAAGGCTGGAATGACCACACACGGTGACAACGGGTAGTTAGGCGTACGACAAGTGCCAACTAGAGGGCTGTCTATAGTGACCTCCGGACGGTAACAGCAGTGAGGATGAGTGTGGCCCTTCAGTTAGGTTATGAAGAAACTAAGTCAGAAGTAGACACAGGCTTGATGGCAATGCCCATGAGTTCTTCGGCCATGCCATACGCTTGCCTAAGAATGAGGACGCAACTCATTGCACCTACACCTTCAGAATAATTTTGAAATTGGCAAAATGTCCTTGAACCGTGTATTTTAGTTAGATTACAGAAGAACTGTTTACTTTGTGAGCAAACATTTTAAGTCAATGATGAGCCAGCCTTAGACTGGTCTGGATCAGATATCATGGGACATTTAAAACCGTGAAGCCTGAGGGAGGACACGAAGAGCTGGGCACACAGAAGAGATGTGTGCTATCTACAAAGGTCTGAACGACGCTGTTTTTATAGAGAACTCCTGCCTTTGCGGGGGTACAAGGTGGCTGCACCAGCCATGGCTGGACAAAGAAGACGCCACCTTGGAAGTGCGTCTGCACTACAGCAGGGGCATATGCACGCCCACCACTGTTATTCCTAACTCTGACTGCATTGCTCTAGCATGTTGATTAGGAAAACAGGATTCTAACCCTCTATACAAAATTAGTTTTTGTTGACTTTAATATGTGGACATAATCTACTATCTAACTGACCCCGAAATAAGCCCTGAACCCTAAAAGATTATTCTCAATGGGCATATTTGACAGCAGTCCCGCACTGAGTTTGGAGACAGCCACTCAAGTGAAGCATCACAGAACTTTCTAGTGTTTCCATGGTCTAAGTCAGCACAGGAGCCAGGCTCTGCAGAAGACTGTGGGGCTGCTGAGAATGTCAGCAGGTAAGGGCAACAGCTCTTCCTTCAGGGCCTCTGCAACAGCACAAGCCCGCCAGCTGCCTCCCTAAGTGATCTACGCAGCCCTCTAGAGTTCTTTAGAAAAAGAAAACCCTGTCTGCTCAGTCTAGAGTCCTTTAATAGTTGTGAACTTTGTTACTGACTCTAAATCCTTCAAGGATTATGCTATAGAAGTGATAGGATTACACAATTAAATATTAGAAATGACCACCGGGTATATCCTGTTTATTGTTTATGATTTACACGGAAAATGGTGGGCTGGGATTGTAGAACAATAAACCAATCATTACAGTTAGACCTGGGCTTTTGAAAACCTTGCATTCCATTTTAACAGCTCATATATATTTAACAGCTTATATATAAATCCATATCACAAATAATCTTAAAAGTTAGTTAGCTTAGAGATAAACTAAGAAACACAAAAGAAATCCACATGAGTCTAACTTTAAATATCAGCATTCATCTTACAAGAAATGAGAAAATGTTCAAAAAATTAAAATTATTAGGCCAAGTCACAACAAAAAAAATAGAAATAAGATAAATGGCATTTTATCAATATTTTTACTATTTCTAATTTACCTTCATATATTCTTAACTTTTCAAAAGGATCCAAGATAAGATCAAATAATACATTGGGGTCTGAACTTGTCAGCCTCAGCTTATACTGGCTTCTTACCATGAAAGTTCTAAAACTTCATTTTTCTTTTTAAAAAATTTAAAGCAAGTCTCATTCAGCATTCTCCTTCACAGCAGCTGTGTAGACACAGTCGGGAGCCAACAATGAAGGACGCTAACAGATGGGAAGCAAAAAGTACAACAGCTATCTTACGTTCAACTCTCTGGTTGAGTTTGGAACCAAACCTCGTAACAACTGGCAGAGAATAGCTAAATCTTAATAGGCAAAGAAGAAATATTTTCTTTGGGACAGCTGCTATCTAGGAGAATAAAACCAAGGTCCCTTAATACTGACTAAACCTAACATGTGGCTTGTTACAAAGCAATCTGCAGCAATGTAAGTTTAATCAGTAAGTGCCACAACTCATCAACAGTACATAAAAGAAAACAAACAAATAAACCACACAATCCACAAATTTCCACAGTACACACAGGAGAACTAATGTTAATCTGGTACGACTTCTTGACACTAACTGATCATCAGTGAAATATGGCATGGAAAGATCACAGAATAGAAAACAAGCAGATTAGTTTATACAACGTTGTCTATATACATCGGAAGGAAGCATGCTAGCTAGAGCAACATTAAGGCCTGAATGTAAGCATCCAAAGTCACAGAAGCCCCAGAGAACCCCGAAATTACAAAGTCACCACAGTACTTGCATGCAATGTTCACTTTTGTTTTACCCATAAAAGGATACACAGTATTTTGCTGTAAATACCAGCCACATTTACAATATATGCAAAAATCAGAATGCAAGTGTTATGTTTTTTATATTTAAGCCTCAAATGTGCCAACAGTGAAACTTCATTTATTTTTAAGAATGGAGAAAAAAAAGAACGAATATAAATACTCAGAGATATTACACAAATGAAATGAAACTGTGCACTTCGGAAGCTATTCAAACACTCCCGAAACTAGATGAGCAGTGGACCAGGTAGATGTGCACTCACTATGTGCTCTGGTATTGTACCTTCTAAGCCATTGTTCTCTAGTGTGGATATCAGGCCTCATCTGTAAGCTACCTATTACACCGTGTCTGTATAGACTTGCCTACTCCATGTGGTCACCTAAAAGCTGTGTAATTTTTATTCGGGGTGATATAGTTACAAACATGACCATGTGCAAATCTTCAGACCTTCTAAAATATTTCAGAAACCAAACTACCTTAAACTAACTACATCTAACTTCTTCAACAAGTATGTCAAGAGTGTTCTGGACCTTCAAGTATTTAACAAGTAGAAGCGGATTGGGTAAGGGCTTAGATAGTGTTTCATAAGGCCAAACACATGTAACTGTGCCAAGAACTGAGCACATCAGATTATTCACATACCTCACTAACCTTTCTTTAAACACATCCAACGTTCATTGAATATTTTATTACCTAACCAACTCAGGAGGTTTACATCTAAGATGTAAAGTTCTTCCGGTGTTCTGGTCAAAGCTGTAGTCTTTGTTTGGCATTCTGAAAAGCTTTAATCTTAACCTTCTCAGTATTATTATAAACCAAGAGGTTTCGATGTAGCAAAAGCAAAGGGACCAGTGAAAAAGCATGCTTTAGAATTCAATTTATTTTCAACGAAACCAAATTTTACTACTGTTGTGATCACAGTCTTCACATCTGATGTGGATAGGAGAGCTTAATTATGATCTCTTAGTGGCAGCACTTCAGACAGAACTAGTAACATATGCCACAGAGATGACTACAGACTTTACAATGAACACCAACATATTCAACTAAAGAAAATGGATGCACTGCTTGAACATTCAGCTTGAAAATGTTTAGTATGTTCTGCAAACCTAAATTCAGTTTAGAAAGGTTAATATTCTCTTTCTAAACTATGGCATATACTATATATAGCATTTTAAATATATTTATATATAATTATTTGCACATCAGATTTAGAAGAAATTTGCAGATTACTGTGATAGAATTCAGATCGCATTTCAATGTTACGCTTTATGGGGCTTCCGCAGCATTGTCATTGGCAGGGGGGGCGTCAGGGTCAGAGGAAGCAGCTGCCGACGCTTCAATAACTGCAGGTGGGAAATGACGGCGGCACACCGGGCATGTTCCCGACTGGAGGGAAAAACAAATAAACAAACCAATTAATAGTCAACAGAAGAAATACACTGTCTCGTCTTTATAGAAAAATCATAGCATCATTATCCTACACACAAATCAAGGATCGTTCAAAAACAGATTTGTTACATTTTGTGTATGTGTGTGTCTATGCACATGGGTGCAGATGCCAAAGGAGCCACAAGAGTGTCGGACCCTACCCCCCCCCCCACCACCACCCCCACCCCCCCCCCCACCACCACCACCACGCCCCCCCCCCCCCCCCCCGCCCCCTTCCCCGGAGCTGGAGGTCCAGCAAATGCGATCCACCTGACGTGGGTGTTGTGAAGCAAACTCAGCTCCTCTGTGAGAGGCATTTGCATGTTTAGCTGCTGAGTCATCTCTCCAGCTCCCAAATCAAGTACTTAAAAACAAAAAATATACCTCAAACCCACACGACATAAAGACAAAATTTTAAAGCCTTTTATTGACCTCAAACTCAGATCCACCTGCCTCTGCCTCCCGAGTGCTGGGATTAAAGGCGTGCGCCACCAATGCCCGGCTCAAATTTCTTTTATACAGAACAGTGTGTTATGATCATGTTCGGACCTTGTACTCAACTCGCCTTTTACTCACTCAATGTTTATTTAGAGCGTCCATGCTTGGCATGGACGCTGTGGTCAAAGCTGACAAAGAACTAGTGCATTGCCTCATGGAGGTCACTTAAACTTAGGAATGACCTGAATCCAACATTATTTTTATCTACTAGGCACATACTTCCTCCTTAGTAACAAAACAAATCAACCGCAGATCTGGGAAAGATGGGAAGGGAGTCGCTTCAGGACCAATGGAAGACCACAGAGATCTATCATCTAACAGATGACAGACCATGTCCTTGCAAATCTGATCTTTCTCCGAATACATCTCCCTGACAAAAGGGCAGCGAAGTTGTCATGCTGCTGAAGGTGACAAAGAATTTTATCTTCGGAACCTTCTTCCCAGGGGGGCCTTTATACTAAATTCTTCCGTCAGAGGACAAAACTCAGATTGTTAGTCTGGGCTCTAGCAAAGTCAAGTACAGTGTGTCCCTGCTCTCTACAGCAGTATCCTACAAAACAAATCCTACAGTTTTGGCCTAGGAGGTACCAGCTCTAGCCTCTTAACCCAGGTAACAATCACTGGACTAGGGAATAGAACACCAGTACATTTTCCAGCTCTGTGAGGATGAAATGGACAAACACAGGGGAATCATCTCGTGGCGACTGAAACTGATTGTACGAAAGACTGAGTCCTTCTTAAGTCTCTACAACTGAGGGCGTAGAGAAAGCTTGTTATGTGGAAGACAGCAAAGGCAAGGTTTCAGCTCATCTGCTTAGATCACCTCATCTTATAGATGGGATGGAGGGAAGCCAGGCTTCATGAACAAACGCCCAGAAACAAGACTAAACGTAGAGAAGAGCAAGTCTGAAGGGACAGGTTGGGAGCTACAGCACAGAAAACCGTGAAAGCCAAGACAGAAACCCACTATTCCACTATTCTGCAAGTGAAAGAAAACCAACCTCAACCTCTCTCCTTTAAGGCAAGTGACGGAACATGAGCAGAGCTACAATTTCGATGATATCTAGAATGAAGACGAGGAAAGAAGTAGGCAAACCCCCAGGTGAAGAGGTGGACGCTGACGGGCTGATGTGCAGGGGTGGCCATGACCACAGGCTTGGGTGTGCACACAGTGCAGCCTTGGGAGCCTGTCTCCGCTCTCCTCCTCATTTCAGAAAACCTGCTCGCTAGCATCCCCTCTGCCGTCCGTCGTGCACAGAATTACAAGTTCTTTCCTGCCTACCTCTCACCTTCATTTCTGCCAACTTGCTTTGCCATACCAGGTACTTGTTATAGGAGATACATTACATTCAATACGACAATCTATTTCAACTTTATATAAAATTCAAGGTAGATAGATTGTATTGTTTGATATAGCCATCTATGCTATAATCAGCATACTGCCAAATAAACAAATTAAGAAAAAAAATCACCTAGAACGCCAGAAGTTTTAAGAGACTTGAAATACCCATGTTCTGCACTACTTGGTTAGGAATCACTTCGTTAACATGCAGTTTACCGAAGTCTGCTGAGAGGTCCTCCTAACTTATACCATCAATTAAGCTTACATCTGCCATTTCATTATTAAGCCATCTCTAATTTTTACTAACAGCACTGATGTAATTTATGTTTTTAGTGTTTACTAGATGCTGATTATCTCCTAAGTAATCACACTAGTTCTCACAACATTGTACACTATACATATCAACATAATAATGGATGTTTAAAAAAACCTTAAAATTAAAAGGAAAAATACCAGCAGTAATCAGGTTTAGAACTCCCAACTTCAACTCAAAAGAGCACTGCATTTCATGGATATTTTTGTGTCCAATTAATTCAACTCTGGAAGTATTTTGGAGCAAGTCTACAACAGGATTATGAATTCAGTGCTATCACAATAATAAATTCCAACCAAAATGAATTAGTTTGGGAGAGAAAAGCAAACAAAGTGTTTTTAAAGTTTAGACAAAGAAAAAAGTACTCAGGAATAAAATATAAAAAATATTATGTATTGGAAAAAACTGTACAATCCTTTTGGGGGGGTGAATAAAAAAAAATCCCACAAATGTCAACAGCCGGGGAACATGCAAACACGCCCACTGGTGGGTGGGAATATTGGCTATTGGAGGCAGGGCAAAGCAGCAGCTGAGGGAATCAGAGGAATGATAAAGACTTCAGCAAATGAGGAAAGTAGAAAGTGAGTACACCCTTAACGACAACATAGCAGGCAACAGCAACAATTCCTCTGAATGTGTAAAGGAATCGTGCACATTTCTACACTAGATTTCAGAGCTCTTAAATACAGCTTTAGGTAGATAAAGTGACAGCAAAGAGTAAAACAGTTCCAATAAAAGGCGAGAAAGACAGAGGTAAGAAGAGAGAAATGAGAAGGAATGTTTATAGGGAAGAGGGAGCCAGACAAGAAAAGTGGCAAGAAAGCAACTTGGGGATTTCTACTAGGCTAGACGGGAAGGACATGTGACAACAGAGATCATGGGCTGGAGGTAACTCCTACACTTGGAATTCTTGCTAAGTCTTTAAGGTAGGCACACCAAAACTAGAAGAGGGAGGGGTTACTTGATTGGGTGTACTTTTCTCACACATTTTCAGCAACACCCGTGCACACTTGCAGAACACCTTTTATTATCACAGTGTGCTTTAAGTAGTGTAAAAGAAACTTCTGAGATATTTCTGAAAAGAATTTTAGGGCTGTGAATGAAAATATATTAAATAGTTACTGTTGCCTAAATTTCTACAAAAGGAAACCAGTCTTTAACATAAAATACTATGACTATGTGTCTAGATGGCGACTACAATTATTATTTGAAGGAGACACTATTCGAGTGCTCACTTTAAGCGAGTCCATCGACAACTCACCTTCTGGAGCCAAATGGAGACGCAGGGCTTGTGGAAGAAGTGGTGGCACGGCAGCTCTGTGGCTATGTCGTCCTTGATGTACTCGCTGCAGCAGATGGGACAGCACTGCTCCTGACCAATAGCTGAGAACACAAACAACGGCATCCATCAAGACGTGAAGTTCAGGGCTAACAAGACCAGTCACTATGACGACTAAGCAAGGCGGAAGAGGAACTTGTATCAATTAACTGGCAAGCAGGAATCTAGCATGTTAATTTGGAATTTCATAACACTTGGTCTGAACCTATCATTTTATTAAGCATTTTCTACTAGGTGAAAGTTTGTCAGTTTCTGGCTTATAAAAAATATAAAAATATATATATATATAACAATCAACTACTTGATCTCCTAGGTGCTCCAATAATACATCAATATATACAACATGGCATCCCAAACTTGAAAACATTGACCTTACCAGTATGATCTTCTAGAACAAGAGTTTCTGGAAGCCCATCAATGCTTTCTTTACTAGCTGGTGGATTAGCCACCTCAACATCTACTGCGAGAGACTCTAAATGTGCCAGCGCAGTCTGAAAAAGAAAAGGTATAGTTCTTTGTTAGCAGACACTTTAAAATAGTAATGGGAACTATTTTTAAGATGTCTCATCAAATTATATTTCTCATATTCTCATATTCTCTTCCTGTTACTCCTCTGCTCTCTTCCAGAAGGACCACTGCCATGATCATTAAGTCAAATGTCCTCTTTTTACCAGCGTACACATACGCACGCACACGTCTGCAGAAAGCCCAACCTATCATCTTATTCAGTAATCGACTTGCTCATTACAACTGCATTGTTCAGATGAATGGTATGCTTCCAACTTGAGAGCTCCTATGAGAGATCACTAATATCAGGAAAGAAACACATGAGTGAAACAGCTCACTTCATGAGATAACGTGGAAAGACTACTAAATGTTTAATGTGAAAACAACCAATGACTCCCGGGGGGTTTTACCTACTACTGGCACAGAGTTATCACATGCACACTGCAGTCACCAAGTTGCACAGAATTATATCACATGCACACTGTAGTCACCAAGTTACAGGTTAACCTGGTCAACTTCATTTAGGGGTTCAATGTCTGTGTAAATGACCTGTCTATGAAGGCTAGAAAAAAGAAAGGGTCACACAGCCATTTAGTATGAATCATCCTCTCCTAGCTTCCAACTCAGATGAAATGACAGGCAGGCCTTGTCTCTTTTCGCCTGCCAGTTTTCGTTACATGTTCTTACATTACATGTTCCTAGTGCACATGGTGCTGGATGACTGAAACCTGGTTGACTGCTGATTTAAAATGAGTAATGAATATAGTCCTGAAAGCTTACTACTGCTATACTATAAATATTATGGTACATGGTTTAACACAATCTTATAATAGGTAACGGAGAAACTATTAATCCCATTTTGTAGACGAGGCTCCTAAAGTTTAGAGGTTAAGGGTATAGTCCAAGATCACATAGCCTGTTAACCTAAGAGATCATGCTTTTGAAATTAGGTTTTCTAATTTACTTAGTGTACATGTGCATGTAAGGGTGCATATAGGCACATGGTATCTATAAGGAGGTCAGGAGACAACCTACAGGAGTGGATTCTTTCCTACTGTGTGAGTTCCAAGGGTTGAACTCTGCAAGCAGGCAGAGTTCCCTTACCCAATGAGTGGTCTTGGTGGCCAAAGAGCTCATGTTCTTGACCTTTACATATGCTCCTAATATTTACAGCCTAGTAAATATTATGTGCTTTTGTGAGTCTGTAAAGACTCTTGAAGGGTTCACAAGTGTGACCATTCTCAGAAAAAACTTCACTTAACTTAAGTAATCTTTCCTGAAACTAACCTTCATGAACATGCACCTACAATCCAAGTATTATTCCTTGTATACTTTCCTGCACTTTATAAATTAGTAACTTAGAAGTATAATCTAAAAAATTGGGATCAACATGGATTCCATTAGAAAAACTATTAAATAAATGCATTCTAGACATGAAAAAATTATTTCTGTAGTGTGATACTCTAGATGTGAAATAACTCAATTAAAATTCTAAACCAGTAATGTCGAGTGCTAAAATGTAATGAGACTGTTAATGCTGTGGAGACAGGAGAGAGCTAAGGACGCTTCATCAGAGACACAGGACAGCGAAGAAAGAACAGCTCTGAAAGTGGCAACACTGTACTGGGTTCTCATTCACAGAACAATGGCTGAAGCTGCAAGTTCCTAGGGAGACTATATTCTTTCTTGCTTCATCTTTATTCACAGTACTGGTGCCTTTTTACAGCATGCCTCTCAGGACCAATCTTTTCAGCTGTTCTTTCAATCAAATGTCACACTGCCCATTAGTAATAAATAAGATCTTACATTGTTCTCAATATTTCTCAAGGAACTAAAAATCTAAGATCAGAAAAATGATTTAAAGATTGTGAAACCAAACCCTAAAATGGATGTGCTTCACCCCACTGTTTATAGAGGCGACTCTCCATAATCGTAATCTCCGTGTCTTGTGTCTGGGATGCAAGCTCTCACACCGTACCGTTATTGTTTATGTCGGCTTTGGGAAGAAGGGTTCAGGACAGTCCCAGGTGACTGCGATCGTCATCATGTTGGTCGCTCTAGCACACACTATTTCTGCTATGGTGATTTCTGAGAACGATCTACTACTAGAGCATAACTGAAGTCCCCTCTAATGGAAAAGCACGGGGATGCACAAAAACGTGATGGAAAGCAGAGCTAATGTCTGTTTGCCCACTACCTAACTTACCAATCTGAACTGAACTTTCTACTTAGGAATTTCAAGATGGAGTGCTGTCATAATGCTCCTGGAAGTCCCTTCTTACTGACTTGTTTCCTTACCAGTTCTCATTCAACTGCTCAGCACTGTTGTTTCAGCCTGGAGTCACTTTACGACTAATGATTTAGAGAGAACTTATTTCATTGAGGTTCACCAGTATTATGGAAGTTCGTTCCCAAGTAAAAATGTCTGGGCTTTTAAACTGGGGCAAATACATTTCAGAATAAGTTTGTGTTTTAGTTCAAAGAACTAAAAAGGTGGCAAGGAGAGGTAGCAGATGTGGGCGCTGCTGGAAAGCATGCACTTGTGGCGGGTGAGGGCAGCAAACCCAGCTGCAGAAGGAAGCCTTCTGGAGCAAGAACAAAGGGAAAGTGTTGTGCCAGGTCCCTAGATCTTCACCTCCACAACTCTGCCTCTCTGCGTCTACGTGTGTATGTGTAAAACATTCACACTCACATACCTAGAGTTCAGGACAGGGAAAAACTGCATTTCCTAAACCTAAGCAAAAGAGTTCTCCTGCTGTAGAAAAAACCGACAACGATTGCCATTTGAAGTCAACTGGCATGACGGCAAGTGAGTTCGTGGACACACGCCAGTAACGACCACTACTCAGCAGTTATGAAAGTGCCCAGGAAACTACCCACTTTCTCTTCAGTGAAGTTTAAAAAGGACACTGTCAAATCTTTAACCCTCTTTTATATTCTACCAATCCTCCATGTATTTATCAGTTATCCAAATACCTCCATAGCCTGGGCTAAGCGTTCTTCTAGAGCCATGTAAGTGAGGAACTGAGGATCCACATAAGAAATGGCTTCAGCAACTCCTAGTCCATCCGCAAAACCATCAAATAGGCTGAAAAAACAAGATCATGACTAAGACTTCAGAATCTTACAGTGAGGATAACTATATATTACCATACTGATAGGCTGTAAAGTCCTGTCAGGAGAAAACGATAACTGTGGGAGAACAGAAAAAACAACAGATAAGCTAAGTGTTAAATTAAGACTTAAAAGGACATTACTTGCTCACCAGTCTCCTACCTCACTGCACATGCAGGAAATGCTCCCTTTCTGTTTCTGACCCAAAGCCTGCTGAATGGTAGGATTCTTACACGTAGAATCCTTTACCTATATTTTTCTTTCTGTTAATTTTAGTTTCTAATCTGGGTGAAGGTGAAAATATGAGAAAGGTAATTATTGTATTTAATTCTATTACTAGTCAAGTCCTATTTTTCCTCCACTTTGAACTGCTTAATTACTTTGGGTTTTGCAAGATTTTTATTTTCTCAAGCCTTCCTCAATCTCTCTTCTTCTGCTAACAATCAGGCCTCCTTTACTTATTAATAGCTAGAAAATGACTTTTTCCAAACTCTTCATTTTTGTTGCTTTATTTTTTGAGACAAGGTTTCTCTGTGTATTCCTGGCTATCCTGGTACTCACTCTGTAGACCAGGTTGGCCACAAAGCACCTCTGCCTCCTCAGAGCTGGGATTAAAAGTGTGTGCCACAAATGCCCAGGCAAACTGTCGTTTTTATGACTTCTGGTTCTAAGGATTAGGAGCCCTTCAAGAGTTGACTCTGACGTTAAGCTACTTCCTTTCGCCATAAGTCAGATTCCTATTTTTTCCCTGTCTCTAGAATTAGTAAGTATTTCAAAATTAGGAAACCCAGGCATGGGAATGCACACACCAGAAATGAGCAAAATCCTTCCATGCACACTGCTTTTCAATGGGTCAGATTAAAACTGAAATAGTGTTTACACTTAAAACTTTCACCTTTCCCTATATTTGTCTACTGAAACAACACAACCATGTTCACTTCCTGTAGAAAATCCATTCAAATGACTGAAGTAAATTACTTTGCAATCATTCTTTTCTTCAGTAGCATAAACAAACCTAGACACCCAGGACCTGATAGGTAGCTGTAATTGGGCCACTGAAGAACAGTCAGTGTTAAAATTCATGTTTCAGACAAGAACTACCAATGGTTGCTAATGCTAGCAGATGGGGGTTTGAAAGCTGAAGAATAAGCAGGTTATTTATAGTCTCAAAACAGCCATTAAAAAGGGGAAAATGATAATTGGACAGTACAAGAATCTGAAAGGCTACATCATAACCAGATGATCAAAATTAATAGCACTAGTAACAAAATTCAATGCCATAATGTGTCTTCTGATATATACTATAAAGACAAATTGTATCATTTTTTGTTGTTCTTGCTAAAAATACATAACTATGTATGATACTGGACAAATACAATGTGAGGAAGAGTCCACAAAATAAATGGCCTAAACTTTTCAAATATTTGTCAGACATGAAAAACAAAGATTAACTGAGGATATATCCAGATTAAACAAACAAAAAAGACAAACATGTTAAATCAATGCAATGACCATCCTGAATTAGATCAGACAAACATTTTCTGTAAAGTCATTTGTGAGATAACTATGGACATTAGAATAAGCTCTGGGGATTAAATTATTAGCACTATATCAACACTAACTTAATGATTTCAGCAATTCTGTGTTATGTAAAAAAAACACTTTCAGAAACTCATTCTAGAATTTTTACAGGTAAATAAATAATGTCTGTGGACTCATAGAAAGACCAGAAGAATTCTTACCATTAATACAGGAAGAAAAGGAAACAGAAATGGTATAAACATTTGTAAAATATTAACATTTAAGGGATCTTAGTGAAGAATACAGGAATACTCTGTACCATTCTGTCTACTTTCTCTAAGTCTGGAATTATTTCGGGTATTGACATATTCAAAACAACAACCTTTAAACATGTTCTCTTCCAATCAATGCTAGAAAGATGTAAAGTCAAAGAAGGGGTCCATACAGACAGTGACATCTGAAATGAGATTGGCAGAAGCCTATTGGTACCTGTCAGACGCAGTTCCCACTGTAATTCCGCTCAGGAGTACCGGAGCATGTAGTAACGAGGCCACGTACCTCCAGTCCACATCCAAGTCCTCGCTCACGCTGGAGTCATCCTCAAGGTTGTTGTTACCGTCCAGCATGAAGGCCTCTGGCTGGGCAAACTCATTGGCAGGCTCGTTTCCTTCATCACTGCTGCTCTCATTGACTTCGTTGTACTGTAACCAGGGAATCTCTCCCTCTTCCAAGGATGTCTGCTCCCTAAGACAAACATTTGTAAGAAAGGAAGAAAACAAAACATCGCTTTCACACCTACCACACCGGACTTTACAGTCACTCTACTTAGTACATGTAATCCCGAGTGCTGGGATTAAATCCGTGGGCCACCACTGTCTTTCTTGTAGTTTTAAGTCCTTGGTACTTATGATTCTAAGTAACTGTTTTCCTCACCTGCAAAAGTGTTTCAACAGAAAATAAAAGGGCTGGTGAGATGACACAGTGGGTCAAAGTTCCTGTCACCATACTTAAGGACTTTGAGTTCAAGCCCTAGGACCCACATGGTAGAGACAACCAACTCTCATAAGTTGTCCTCTGAGACACACATACACATATACCCCTTTTTAAAAGATTTCTCTGTGGTGTGCGGATGTGGGTGTGTGAGAGCACAGATTGTGCATGCCTGTACACAACTCAGAAGCCAAAAGAAGGCAATAAGTATCCTCCTCTGTAATGCTCCACTAATTTCTTTGAGGCAGGGTCTCTCCTTGAACCCAGGACTTTCATGTTCTCTGTAAGCCAGCAAACCCTCAGCAAGCCTCATATCTACCTTCTCAGAGCTGGGGTTATAGGAATGAGCCCATGGTGCAGGGATCTGAACTCCGATACTCAGATTGTTCAACAAGTGATTATAACTACTGAGCCATCTCTCCAGCCTCTAATTACATTTTTTTCAATCTTTAAGTTTGTTTTGTAAATGTTAATGTAACTGTTATAGTTATATTCTGGTTAGTGTTTGCCTGAAATATTGTATTTCTCTTTTAATCTTTCTATATATTTATACTTTAATCAATCAATCAATCAATCAATCAATCAATTAATTAATTAAATGATTTATTTTTGGTTTTTCGAGAAAGGGTTTCTCTGTGTAGCTTTGCGCCTTTCCTGGAACTCACTCTGTAGCCCAGGCTGGCCTCGAACTCATAGAGTTCATACCGTCGTAGTTCCGATGCGGTGGCGTTATTCCCATGACCCGCCGGGCAGCTTCCGGGAAACCAAAGTCTTTGGGCCTGCCTCTGCCTCCCAAGTGCTGGGATTAAAGGCATGCGCCACCACTGCCTGGCTAGATTTATACTTTAAATGTGTCTCTTTTCAGCTTTTAAAATTCTGATAAGCGTTACCTTATCAAAACAAAGATCAATCAATTTATATATATATATATATATATTTGCAACTAGTAATTGCAAGAACTATTTCTGTAGCCTATCTTTTTACTCTTTTTTTTTCTCCTTTTCTGTATTTTTCTTTTTGTGTGGATTTTAATGTTCTTTTTTATGCTTCAATTCCTTTCTCCCTGGTTCTGGGGACAAAACCTAGTATCTTGTGCATACCAGGAAGCATTCTGCCATTGGGCTATATTTCCAGTCCCTAATACATATGGTTTTATTTTCTTCATTGTAGCAATTATCCTTAGAATGTTACTATACACATGCAACACAATGCGAACTAATACTATAGACCTCTCCCAGCCATTTAAAAATTAATGGTGTCCAATGTTGAGCTCTATCCCTGCCACACTTGGAGCAACGCAAAATTACCAGGTACATGACATTACATTAAAGAATGTTGTTGATGAAAACAGCTAATATCCCGAAATGTACTTTATTTATTCTTACGTGTCTTGGTATTCAACTTCAAGGAAGAACATCCTCTTAAACTTCAAACTATATCTAGTTACCTGTCATCTATAGTGCCTAATGGACAATTAACCCTTGCAAGTAAGTTCCTATTTCCTAGCTCTCCTAGAGCTGTCTGTCCATCTACTTAGTGACCAAAGTGAAAACCTAAGTCATAACTGTTGCTCATTTTTCCTCATCCAACAATCTATTTTATTATTTGAAACTTCAAAATAGTCTCAAACTTTGACTGGTTTTTTTTTTTTGGAGGGAGAGGGCCTGAGCTGATAATCAAACCCAGGATTTTATGGATGCTAGTAAGTACTCTCTCACAGAGTTATATACTTAGCCATAAAGCTTGTTTTCTAAAACTCACAAGTATCCACTAATCAGAACAATTCATTCTCCTTTTAAAAACTCCAGTCCATTTCCAATTAATCAGCACAAAATAATCTCTTTAAATGGCCTATGAGATCAGTTAATTCTCCATTTAAAAAGCTCACTGCTGCTCTGCTGGCTGCAGTGGTGGTGGTGAGCACAGCTTTAATCTCAGCACTTAGGAGGCAGAGGCAGGTGGATCTCTGTGAGTTCAAGGCCAGCCTGGTCTAGTTCTAGGACAGCCAGGGCTACACAGAGCAACTCTGTCTCCGGGGTGGGGAGGGTGTCAATTTCTGGGGCATCCTCCTGACCACTCTAATTAGTGATATAGTTTTCTGTTAGCTACCATTTGTCTCATTACTTACTGTCTTACTCTCTCTGCAGTAAACAGTCTGGAATTAATGCTTTTATTTTTCTTATTATGTACCCTTCCTACCTAAATGCTTTTATATAATACCAAGTTAGAAATTTACACAGTTCAAAATGTACAAATGTCAATATTAGCCTAAAAATATAACTTATGAACTTATCCTATTAGAAGCTAAAAATTGAAACAATTTGTCATTATAAAAATTTAAATAATCAAAACACTGCCTTATAATTAAATGGTTAGATGGTGTTTCATCACCCAATGCTAACAACATTTACCAGATAAATAATCTATTTTAACAGAGGCAGAGTACAGAAAAAAAGAAAAACATTATTTTTTAAAAGAAAATAAGTATCAAACTGATACTGAAATCTAAATCTAAAAACCATGCTTACTTAAAGATCTCAACAGTTACATCTTATGCAAAATAATAGCAAACAATTCATCATTAAACCATGATTACATGATCACGTTTGGTTTATTTTTAAAATATAAGGATAGATAAATATCAAGAAGTCTAGCTAAACAAAAATTCCTATGTTTAACAGGTCAAAATGATTTTGTTTTAATCTTCCCACTGAAAAGACTTAAAATTCAGTGTTCTTGGTAGAATCCCATAAAATAAATTAAAAAGTTGTTATTCCTTAATGAGATTAAAAAATGTTTTCCTCTAAATTTAGGAACAAGATGAGAGTGTTGACTCTACTCTTATTCAATACAGTGCTTTTTAAGTCTTACCTAGATCAGTAAGGCAGAGAAACAAATGAAAGGAATACAAATAGGAAGGAAACCAAATTGCTTCTGTTTGCAGACAGTATGTTTCTATTCTTAAAAGACCCAAAAGATTCTCCCAGAAAGCTCAAAGATTCAGTAAATACTAAACAAAGTAGAAGAATAGGAAAAAAAAAAAAACATAAAAAATCAGTAGTTTCTATATAGCAATAAATGAACTTGCTGAGAAGTAAATCAAGGAGAAAGTTACATTCACAACAGCTTCTAAAAGAACAGACACAGACACACACAGAGACATATACATGAGGGGTAGGGGAAAAGATTTCAAGCTTTTTTACTGATGAACTACTAGAACAAGGATTGGGGAGCTGAGAGCCACAGGTTCTTTCTAGCCTGCCATTCCTTTTGTTTTGTTTTGGAAACACAGCTATACCAATTCCTTTACATATTACCTATGCTGCTTGTATGATACAACAGAACACATGAGAAGTGCAACACTGACTGGCACACAAAACCAACAATATTTATTTGGCTTTTCACCAGTTAAGTTTGAGAACTCCTAGGTTAAGGCTATTTCCATTCAAGGTATAGTCAGACATGTTTACTATAGACCTTGATGTTCTGGAAATACTATCCAAACAAGCTAGATAAAAATATATTAAAACTTCATTTGCAACTAACTGCCTCCATTCTGTGAGTGAATCACTTAAATGACATGCTAAGTGTAATTTACCATGCTGATTTACCTCGAGGCAGATTGTTCTCCCAAGTCTCTTCAGTGCATGGCAATGGGCAACATTAATTCAATTATTCCTAGCTTAGCCAAAATGACCTTTTAAATCAGCAGTTCTCAACCTGCAGGCTGTGATTCCCCATCTCTAAAAATATTTAGGTTATGGCTCATAACAGCAGCAAAAATACAGTTACGAAGTAGCAACGAAAATAATGGTTGGGGGTCATCATATCACAAGGAACTATATTAGAGGGCTGCAGCATTAGGAAGGCTGAAAACCACTGTTTTAAATGCTCAAATTTCCTTTATAAAGAAACATGAAAACACACATTATATCTTCAGAAAAATACTGAAATTGCTAGTATTTAAAATTGTCCCCTACTAAATACCAAAGCACCATGTAAAGGCAATTTATTTGTTCAACATGGGCTTATAAATGTAATTAATGTACAGCAACATTTGAATGTGATGCATGCCATTCTTGCATAATACACAATTAAAAAATGAATCTCCCTGTTACACATACCCCTCCTGAAGAGACAGTTCTTGGTTCTCCTCTTCAGGGCCACTACTATCACTCTGTAGCTCAGGTTCATTCTCATCTTTTCCTGGCAGAGTCTCCCAGCTCTCGTCACTTGAGGACTGGTCTTTTTCTGTGCCAGAAAATCGGTGAGGCAGAGAAGCAGACCATTCCCCATCACTGCACTCTGAACTGCAAACCGGAACAGAAACAAACTGCTATCACACACTACGTTATTCTTAGTATGTGGACAGTTACCACACATTATGGATGGGAGGCAGGACTACTCATGTCCAGGCTTAGTCAGTTGCTCATTCATTTTAAAAACATCAAAACAAAAAACAAAACAACAACAACAACAGAAACAAATAGACTCAACAGAACGTAACTCTTTCAAATGATAATGGCATATGTAAGAGTTTAGACATATTTCTACATAAAAATTTAAATGTAATTTGGGAATCAAAAAATAGTATCTAGAATGAATAATGTATGTATTACTCACCGGATCTAAATGAAACAATTTTCTAATTATATACTGATGCTTTTTTAAAAAAATGTGCTCTGGGCCTATATTATTAATACTCACAGTAGCCTTCCATCAAGGAGAAACTTCTGAAAGTATATCCCTAGCCACCGATGAGCAGCTTACTAAGCATTTAGAATACTAACTAGCCATTGAACATTCTTACTAACCTCTCAAATTATATTTTTACTGTAAGAGTCCATCTACCAGGTGAGTCTCTTACCTTACTATCTACCTATTAAATGGCGTCTCACCATGCTTTTATCTTGGAAGCTAGCTGAACTCTTTCCCAATTTTCTATGTTCAAAACCTTTATTTTCCATTCTCTTTGTATATGGCTCTTACATCCTAATACCTTTTTCTTCACTTCTCCTACTATCAAAGAAAAAACAAAAAAAATCCCACAATACAATGACAGCAGCAGCGACCACCATCCAGTGACTTTCTACCAGCCTGGAACTGTAGAACCTAATGACTGATCTTCCCAAATTTAAGCCGACCTCCTCAACTCACTTAAAAAATACATTCTGAACACTAGCATCATTTCAACTTATACATTAACTGCTACATTCAAAGTAGAATTCCACGAACTGCTCAAAGCTTTGTCTTCTCTCCCTAAAGCAGTATTTCACAAGTTTAAGTTGAACATTTAGCACCCTCACAGTTTTTCTACTGTTCAGTATTTGCAGTGTTTCCCAAAGTACAAAAGATGACCACATAAGTTAGCTTTCCTGGATTTAAATCCACCTCTTAGCAGTTGTGAAAATTGCTGTGTGTCTTTGATTTCTCACATATCAGGTGAATACAGTAGCAGCATCTAATGGCTATTGAGCTCATGTGAGAGACAAGAAAATTAATATATATATATATATATATATCACTATATTAATGTCTACTTATGTCTATAGAAAGACACAAATGCCTATAGAAAGACACAAATAACTGTCAGCAAAACCATTTCCTTAACATATTTTTAATCAAATACATTTAGTTAGAGAGTAAGCTGTATCTATTAAATCCCAGGTGTGAGGTGCCAGCTAGTTTTTAAACTCTCATTCAAATAAGTACTGATTAAAATCACAAATCTTAACCTGGGTGCCACTTGATGTATTTAATTTGCAAATGCTAGCTTACAGAAAAAGCATTCAAACTTCTTTAAATAACACTTGGAATTTACAACCACACAATCCTATTTCCTTCTTATAACTAGTGCCTCTTCCCTTACACAAGGTGTTTCTATTTTCATCAAAATGTTTTCATAGCCACTTGGTGCCTCTCAGCCTTCAGGACTAGACCAGACTTCATTTCTTTCAAGATACTTCTAGGTAATATTACCTTTTAAGGGGGGCAACTATTCATGGACTTGGCATCTGGCTTACTCAGTCCAAATCATTGTCCTGCAGCTACTTCTTCAACACTGAATTTACTATTCTTAAGCATTCACAATGGATTTGAGCTTAACAAAGTAAAACAACCTATAGCTTAGTCCCACCCAGCTCTGGCTGGCTGTAGATGGCCTTCTAGTCAATGAATTAAGCTGTAACTGATGAAGACTGATGAACTAAGATGTAGTCAATTAAGTTGTTTCCTATGCTTTACATCCATCTTCCAAATTCTGTCTAATTGCATTGCTCGAGTAATTTTTTCATCCTCCTCTAGTTCTGAGAGGTGGCCAATTCATGAATTATATTTGTCTTGTTTTACTAAAACAAATGTTACAAAATTTAATTGATCTACGATATTTTCCTAGTTATATGAATATAAAAGCAGTTTCCTAATAACTGAAAGACAGAAGAGCTAAATGTTTACAGGCTCTTAATAGGTACTAAAGACTATTCAATCATACAGCTTCAAATATAAAATTTTATTAGTAGTATCTGATTTGAAAAAGATCAGCAGTAGGTATTTATAAGGAAGTTCCAAAAGTGTATGCATTTTTGTGATGAATGATAAAAATACACGAACAATTTCTAGTACTATTTCAATGTGAATTTTATTAATTATGTCAATATAGTATTTATTACTAATTTGTAACTATAGAGCCTAAGAAAGTCAGAGGACACTGTAACTTTCTTCTACTAAAAATTCCAACTCTCCATAGCCAATTTCTTTATGGAAGACACAATAGTATTGATGAAACTCAATTTCTATGAACAAGCTTTGAAATCAGACTGATATGACTTAGAATCCAGAATAATTTCTCTGTTTAACTTCCTCATCTATAAAGTGACATATTAATATTCAAGTTTCAAGCCTACAATGATGTTTAGATGAAAATCTGGAAATAAAGTATGTAGTACAATTTTTGGAAAGTGGTAAATAGTTCTAAAAGGCAACCATTAACTTCTTGTAAAGCATGGTATGTCCTTTTAGATATTTCAGTGGGTTGCTTACTAGCTCACCACTATTTCTCCCTTGTCTGTGCCAAAGAAAAGCTACTCTACACCACCTCATTTGTCTTGATGACATCAGCTTCCTGGAAAACCCAACTTTAGTCTTTTTTTCACTAAAGATCAGCTTTACTATATCAAACTATACCCTAGACCATCACCTAAACTAGGTCACCCGTTTCTTCAAGACACAGAAAATAAGATATTATTTTTCCAATTTTATTTTATTTTAGATTTGAACATGAATTTTATTTTTAAAAGCTAGGCAGGAAAATAGGAGGCTTTAAAAGAAGCATGGAAGTATGTTCAGAGCTTGGACAAAGGTAAAAGGTGAAGACCATGCCTGGTTGCATCACAGATGTTGGTATGCATTACATACAGTTGTGCTGGTGTGTGATTCAATTCAGGCAGGAGCAGAAGCTACTTTTGATGTTTTCTACAGGAGGCTGACAGAGAACCCACTGCCCCAGAGCTGCTGATCTTGCATTTATTCTCACGATTTGAGGACCAATTACAGGCTAAAGCTCCTCACGATAAGATGCCTTACAACTTCATCTTGAAGCACTAGACATTATCATAGCCCAAACCCATTCTGTGGTCCTAAAAGCATAGGGTACTTCCTGAGGGACATTCCAGCTCAGTGGCTCCGTAAATCAGGAAGCTGCAAATCTCATAGTAGAGTCATAGTCCTGTTTTGTCTATGTACTTCCCTGGTTGTCCAGCACTAATGGTATGGGCATGAATTCCAGGCTCAGAGGGGTCACTCGAGGTGAAGGTTTGTCTACATGTGGAGGAGAATCCAACAATGAACTTCTTAGGATCAGCCCCATGGTTCTTCCTGCAAGTCATGATACAGTCCACATTGAGGCAGCCACTAATGCCCTGGTCATTTGGACCTTTGTAGAGGGGACTATTTTCTCCTGTATAGCCATCCTTGTAGCTATGGAGATCGTATGTCATGACCTGAATGTAATCAAGGGACTGTGACAGGTCAGGGATGTTACAGCCAGACTCAATGATGGAGATGATACCAGCGCCTGTGGAAGTGATTAACAGCTTGGTCTTGTGTTCATCTAAGGGTTCATTCTCAAAAGCTTCATGCATTTCCTTCACCAGGAGAGTAAAGAGATACTTGTCCTTAGACTGGCGTCCACCAGACCCAGGGTACTGCCAGTCCAGGTTCAGACAGTCAAAATTGTGTTGGCTGACAGGAATTTGATGACTGACGTAATGAAAGTCTGACAGTTCTGAGAAGTCGACACCATGATACTGAACCCACTAGATGCAAACTTCTTGCCTCCAATGGCCAGGTGAGTTTTCAGCTCCATGTTACTCTTAGTCCAATCGGGTGCTGGCGGACTCTCATTTTCCAATTTTAAATCTAAGTAGTTCTATATATTTCAAATTAATAACCTTTTCCTTTGTTTTTTTCACAAACTCAAAAACATCCACTCTATAGCGATCCTTTAAAAACTGTCTTCAGAGCTGAGGTCCAGACAAAGGATACCATCATATGGATGTGGGTCTACCCTGAATACCATTTACACACACACACACACACACACACACACACACACACACACACACACACACACACAGCACTTCTTTGAGGAATCAGGGAATGAGATGTTGCTCTTGGATGGTACTTGATCTTACTTTCAGCTGAGATTTACAATTAAAATATTTTACTTGATTGAACTGTTAAAATAAATGTTTATAATGAGAAAAAACTATAGAGGCAGTAGAACTGAAGGTAAGGCAGGAGGTAGAGGTGGATCTGGGAGGAGCCACAGCCCAGCTGGAGAGGCTTGCTTTGCATGTGTGAGGCAGGCCTTAGGGTTAATCCCTATAACCACACAGTGCAAACCAGAAAACCTGTGTTTATTGACATTGGTGGGAGATAAATGCAGATTAGCTTTTGAGTTTAGTTTGATATATTAAAAGGTACCAGACTCTGTTACAGGTGTTATCTAAATACATAATAATGCTCCCTGTTCCCATGGTGACCAGCAGCCTTACAGAGAAATGACCAGAATACACAAGTTCATTGCTATAAGGCTGAGATTGCCTCTTTCCTGTTCTTTATAATTTGTCTGAGTATCAAACAGAAAGAGCTTCTCTGACATGCAGGTACCACAGCTAAGAAAACATTAAAACATCCACAAGCAGCCAAAACAAAGTCCTTCTATCACATGCTTAAGCATTTTTACAGACTTTTTCTGTCTTGTTTTCAAAAGAAATTTAGTAATCCCAGCTTTGGCCTCCTGTGTAGCTGG